AATCAGAAAACCGGAGAGGAGGGAATCCCCGATCATTCTGAGGCTGGCATTACCCTGACATTAGCACCCAAGATGTTGCTACAACAAAAATAAAACTACAATTCAATATCCCATGTTCTTATTTTAAAAGAACAAACCCAAGCTCTTTGTCAAACAGTTTCTTGTTCATTGTCCCTGGCTCCTGAGTTAGTATTGTCAAACTTGTCTTAAAAATTGCATTCATGAGAATTTCTTTTTCCAGTTTGCAAGGCCTCAATAAAAATCAACTCCTGGAGCTGGAAAAGATCATGCTTAGTGAAATAAGCCAGAAAGAAAAGGAAAAATACTGAATGATTTCACTCATAGCAGGAGTATAAAGGACCAGGGGAGAAAATAATAATAATAACGAGCAACTATGTACCAGAGACATTTTATGGGGGTGGAGTGAGGAATGGGATCAAAAATGTTGGGGGGCTGAGGGGGCTGGGAAATGTGCACTGGACTATGGTGATGGCACACAGGTGATTTGGTGATGGGAAGCCCACGGGAATTACAACAGAGATGGGAAAATGCACAAAAAGATGTAAAAATAAACTATCATGTTATTAAAAAGAAACTCAACTCCTGAAACGGATGCCAGGGGCCGTGCCCCTTGGCAGTGAGGGACACTCCCATCAGCTTAAAGGCTTCAGTAAAGAAACCTGGTTCACTGCACAGAGGTGAACTTATCGATGCCAGCGTGCCGTTTCCAAGTCATCCCTAAGAACACCTCTAGCAATGGCCTTCGGGAGATGGACAAGACAGTGCGTGGAAGCAGAAAAATGACACTTTCAGCCCAGACAGCCACAGGCTCAGCTACCAACAGCACCGTGGAGACCCGAAGGCTGGGAAGCGGCGTTTGCAGGAAACCTGCTCACCAGCCATCAGCCCGACCCGGTCTCACCTGCAGCTGGGCCGTCTGCGTCTGCAGCGCGGCCGTGTGCTCCTGCAGGAAGGCGCTCTGCTTCTGCAGCGTCAGGATCTGCGAGCTGAAAGCCACGTTCTGGGTCTCCAGGTGCTGCAGCTGTTCCTTGAGGAGCTGCTTCTCAGTTTGCAGGGCCGCGTTCTGGGGGCACAAGCACAAGCCCGTCAGGTAGAGGCCTCTGGGGTGCTTCTGGGCGTGGGCGTGCCGGGCCCCTCCGGCGTGGAGGCTGGGGCCCGCCGCCGGGCCGGCCACTCACGTTCCGCTCCAGCTCAATGGCCCGGTCCTTGACACGCAGCAGCTCCAGCGTGGCCTCCTTGTGGCTGGGCTCCCAGGTCTCCGGCCCCAGCGCTGCCCCGGAGTGACGGAAGGCATTCTGCAGGGGCTTCCCTTCTTCCTGGCTCTGCCTGAAGGCCTCACACTCCTTCTGCAGCTGCCAGGAAGGACGCAAAAGCAGACTTGGGGCAGGAGACCAGCATCTCGCCCAGACTAGCAGCCCCCACCTCACCCATCTCTGCAGCTCTCCCACCCCCCCAGGGACAATGGCACGTGACCAGACTCTGCTTCCCCCTTTGGAGGGATGCACATAACCTCTCTCCTGGGACGCCCCCTTCTTCCAGATATGACAAAGGGCAGTGACCTGGGACCTGGTCCTGCCATGTGATAGCAAGTTTGCCTCCCTGGGCCTTGCTACGAGTCTACCTACAAAAAGGAGCCTCCCTGGTGGCACAGAGGGTAAAGACTCAGCACTGCAAGTTTGATCCCCAGCCGTGGAGGGGATCCATATGGCGCGGCAGACCTCTCCTGTCTCCCCGCTGCTCCCCTCAGCAGTGTATTTCAATCTGCCTGTTCTGCTCCCCACTCTGTCTCTGGTGAAGCCTCTCACCCCCTCCACCTGTGGCCTGTACCCCAATTCTGTGTGCATAAATGCACACATGCACGAGTGAATGGAGCCAAGCCTGGGAACAGGTGATGCTCTCACGGCCGCGCCCCCCCGCCCCAGCCCCAGGCCCACGTTCCTCATCCCACCATGCAGCCGAGAGTCGTGCGGGGACTGAGCCCAGGCAGAGCACCCGCGCATGCGCGGGGAGCGTCTGGGAGCGCGTGAGCCCAGAGGACACGTGTGCGTCCTTACAGGGCCCCGTGCACCTGCACCCGTCTGTCCCGTGCGAGGGGCCTGCGAGACTCGGGGCCAGCTTCAGCCTGAGGACTGCAGCTCCAGTGGGGCTCTCAGGGTGTCCCCACTGCTCTGACCGCCTCCCCCTCCCCGCCCGGCCCCGCCCCGCCCCCAACACCGATCCTTGCACTGCATCTGTGCAGAGCCCTCCCGCCTGCTCTGGGAAGCACCCCGCACTCTGCTACCTGGTGGGGGGCTGCCAAGGGTGAGGCGGACCTGGAAGGGGAACCACCTGGCTCTTACCACCTGGAGTTCGTTCTGTAGCTGGTGATTTAGGCTGGTTCTCTCTTCCATCTGCGCCTCTAAGAACGCAATCTTTTCTTCTTTCATGGCTAGTGTTGTTTTTAATGCCGATTCATTTCTGCCCTCCAAAAGTTTGTGTTTTCTGGGAGGGGGGGGAGGGGGGGGAGATGTCACCATATTTATCCTACATGCGCCCAAGCCTGGCTGGGAGCACCTTCCTCCCCAGGAATCCAGCTTCCTCCATGGCCCTGATGGAGCGTCTGGCTCAGAAGACTTGCAGCACTCAAACCTGCCTGCGTGGAGCCTTCCTGAACCCCACACAGACACCCGGGGGGCACCGTCCACAGACGCTGCGCGTTTACTGCCATCATCCAGGGAAGGGTGAATATGCCCCTTTACAAATGGGGAAACTAAGTCACAGGACGGTTAAGCAGCTGGCCCAAGGCCACAGAGCCAGCAATGCCTCGTCCCTAAGGGTCCTACTATCTGGCACGTGGATCTTCAAGTCCAGCAGAGAGAGGCCCGAGGTACTGGCGCACCTTGAAAATGGGTTGTCTAGGAGAGCTCTGCAGGTGACGGCTCAGCAGATCAATACCCGGGGTGCGGAGTACACGGGACACCGGCCATGTTAGGGCAGCGTGTGTGTGTGAAGCCGGGATGGCGGACACGCGGTGTGCCCGTCTGGCCCGGCCACGGAATCAACACGAGCGTGAATCCGGTCCACTGACTTAACAAGCACACCCCGCTGGTGGGGGGCTGCTGGCGGTGAAGGGGGGCTGTGCATGTGGGTTTGTGCGACACCCACTTGCCCCTCAATCTGCGGTGAAATGAAAACCGCTCTCAAAAAGCCTTAAGAAGGCATTGGGTGAACAGAAGAGTCTCCTTCCTCTGCTCCCTAAGCACCTCCAGGAAGGCGTGGGGTGGGACGGAACCACTGGGGACAGGCCCTGAGTCGCGGGCTGGGGTGGTGGGCGCCCTCACGTGTCACCGCTGTCGTCATCCTGCAGCAGCAGCTCCTTGGGGAGACCGGCCTTCTCCAGCTCCTGGCTCAGTTTGTCCAGCTCACTGGACAGCTGCTGGTTCTTCAGCTTCTCCTTCACCAGGTCCTGCAAGGACCGGGCGGGGGTGAGCCTGGGACGGGGCCCCAGAGGCGTGGGGGCACCGGCTCGGGCACGGACCCTACGCCAGGTGGAGCACTGACGCCCTGGCCCCGGCTGACCGGGGGCTGGGGCCGAGCAGGCGGGGGCACCGAGGACGCTCTTCCACACGCAAGGGGCGGACACGCTCGGGCCCCCGTGTCAGCCGTGCGTCACGCTGCCCCCACACATTCAGCTGTGTCGGCGGCCCCATCCACGCCGGCCTTGGGGGGGCGGGTTTGACCCGACGACGTGGTCGCCTTCCCAGGTAGTAACACGATTAAATGCTGACTGCAGACAACTCAGGACAGACAGAAAAAGGGAGCTTCAGCCCGTTTGGCTCACTCTTCACTGGCGGGTGTCGCTCTCATTTGCAAGGGCCCCCTAACTTCCTGGAGCCTTGTGGCCCGCAGGTAGCTGCTGTTTCCTGCTGGGCTGCTGGCACACGTGAGCACCCTGCTCCAGATCCCGAGCCCAGACAGCCTGGGGCAAGTGGGGCTCACTGACACCGGCCCTCTCTGTCCAGGCAGGTTTGGGGGTCAGACTAACAGGCCACAGAGGGGGTCACCTCGTGTGCCACACAGCAGCCACCAGCTCCCTTAAGGCAGCCTGGCCCACGTGCCACAGCGCCAAGGACAAGCTCCCGGGCCACATGCCCGCCTCGCGTGGGGAGGCCCTCCGGCGGGCCCGGGTACACCGCTGACGGGCAGGGGCTGTGTGCCCAGGCGCTATCTGCCCCTCGGCCCCACAGCACCTGATCTGCCTGCACCCCGCACCACGCTCTGGGGCTGGGTTTCCCAGCCTCCCTTGCAGCGAGCAAGGTGCAGCTGTGGGACAAATTCTGTCCCGTGAAGTGTGACCCTGCCCCCCCC